TGTGATGCAACATGTTCATAAAGTCAGGCGCGGCACTGAGGTGACAAGGACTGGACAGTGAGAACACACACCGTCGTAGCGCTTGTCTCACTCTTCCTGTCCCGTCCTCGTCGTCTCAGCGCCACACTTCACTTTACGAGCATCTTACACCAACAAGGCCAACAATCTACCCTTGCTTAATGTGATGCAAATACACTGAGGCATTTGTCTTCTGTACAGTCACCTATGATGATCGTTCTGCGTGCTTTGCATATTAATTTTTGACGGAGAACATAGGCGGCTATCAATAGCTCTTTGGGCAAGCAAATCGGAAGACTCCGACAAATGATCAGTTGTACTCTTATCATGGAATAGTCACCATGACTTATTGTGAACTGTGCTAAAGTGCTTACTTGGGCCAGTTGGTACATGATCAACGAAGCGAAAAAACAGCGCGTAACACAGGACAGTGACAGAGACAGATGATCAGCGCTTTGTCCGTCTCTGTCACTGTCCTGTGTTATGCGCTAATATTCGTTTCATTGTTCATTGTGAAGTTTATTATCATCTAGAAAGTTTGTTCTCTCATTCTATGATACGTGGGCATCAAAGGCTAGTCTGTCTTTTTTTTATAGTCCTATCTCCTTATAAGCGGCACTGATATAAGGACAAATGGGCATAAGAGACGCCAGTGTGCCTACAGTAACCTGTGAGTTGATAAGAAAATTAATGCGTGGTACCTGCTTATAAGAGACATTTTGTATAATAGACAAGAATTGCTGCCCAAAGCAGGGCTCTTACAAAGGAGTTAAACTGTATTTACGTTTTATGAGCCTGTCATGTTAAATATTGGGTTGTGAATTTTTCGCATGTGTGCCGGTGATGGTGACTGGTTGTCAGGAATGCTTTCTTTCATGTTGCACTGTTAGGATATTTGTCCCACGCAGTCGTTAAACTTCGGCCGGCTTGATTGTATCTTCTTTTTTGTTGCAGATAGTTTGCGTAAGCCCTTGCATTCAGTCTCGCTGATGTTGCTTCATCTTTATTTAGCCACGTTTCACGAATGGCACGGGCGTTAAGATTTGAGATGGCATTGTTGTGAAATATGTTTTGTCGAGTCTTGTGCACTGGCTGCACGTTAAAGATACTCATTGAGCGGCGTTTCAACTGGCATTTATTGCATGCTTACATGGAAACAGGGTTTCTTGCTGTGTTTTAATGTTCCTGATCTGTGTTTTAATGTGCTGAGTACACAGGCTCTGAAGGTAAGTGTTGTGTGGCTCACAGTCTTCATTTTTCGTTTTGCTATTGCAGCATGCCTGTTTGAAGGGGCACATGTTTTGACTGGCGTACGAGTGTGCGCTTTTATCTGCGTTGACTGTCCTGCGTGTCCTTCAAGTTAGCATAGCATTTGAAGCTTTCGTGCTAAACTATCTGTATGTCTAAAAACCCATTCCCTATTGAACGGTTGACTTAAACCAGGCGTAAAAGTGAGCAGAAGATTAGATCATGAAAGTTTTCCCAGGACTTTCTAAGGCTGGCCAAAATTATTTGAAAAATGTTGGAGTTTTAGTGATTGCTGGTGTGTTATGTCCAAAATCTACAATGTACGAATAATGTTCATTTAGACTACTGTGGAATAACTATGACAGAGTAAGTTTGACTGAAGCACTCTTGGATTTCAGCCTCCTTTGGAATGTAGCAATAGCAGCTGGGAGTTTACATGACTCTTTAGGGCGTTACACTAAGTAAAGAAATCTAGACATAAACTTTGAACTTTTATTGCTGACTGTTCACTTGCAGAAACTTCTGGCCGGTAGCTTCGCCTTCTTAGCCGAGAGAGGTTGCTTGCTACTTGCAAGAGAAGTGCTTGCATGGCCACCAACATTTGCTTAGCCTGTGCTTCATTTTTATGTATTAATTTTTGTTCATGATAAAAGCAACGTCACTGTTATGGCCTTTCTATTTGCATGTTGACTTTCATATCGTAGTATACACTGGACTCTGGTATTTCATTGGTCATAGCATGTTATACGACTGAGTGATACACGTTCTGTAGAGGGCTACGCTCCAGTGCGGACGGCATCCCCCTTTGACGAACTACTGGTGTTTCTCTGGAAACTTACTATGCAGACACGAGACAAGGGAAGAAAGAAAAAAAAACATTGTATCCAGCCACTTGTGCCCGCATCTCCTTTGCGGGCTTGGCCTATGTATTAATAATTGTTTCGCATCATCTCGAACATGTATACAGTGTATATAAAAATGCGGTGAAGAATACAGCAATGCGCTGCATTTAAAAACTGTTGTGTGCCCAGCGATGGCGCCAAAGTCTTCTGCTACCTCAGCTGATTGTTGTCGTCTTTTCGTAGCAACAGGCTTAAAATGGCTGTCGTAGAAGCAAGTTATGCTCTTTCTCTCGCTCGTGGTCAAGGTGTGTGTATTTTCTCTGTTTTATTTTTTATTGAGAAGTTGGGTTTTCTGTGTGTGTGTGTGTGTGTGCTCTTTGTGTTGCATTGCTGGTATTCCTTGCCAACTGAATAGTGTGGCATGTCATAAGGCATTGTATAGAACTAGTGATCAAGGGCATTGCTTCGTTTGGGTATTATATTGGGAAAACTGCTTTCTTGCATTTTTAAGCCATTCTTTGTCTGCATATGGCTGTCGCTTAGTCAGTGTACGTTTTACTATTGATCGTGCCGGGCAAAAGATTTGTGACCATCTTCGCTTGTTTTTGTTTTGTTTTTTACGCCTGCTCATCTTTCACAATTGTGAAAATTTCTTCAAGCCTACCGAGTTATCACAAAATGGTCAAGAGAATAAAGGAAGCCATGTGCTCGTACTTGACGAACTTGTTCTGCAAAACACTCATTACGAGACTACCGAGAAGCCCTCATTTGGCTGGAAGGCAATTGTTGGAATCATTTGTTTCTAAGAACTGTGCCCCTGTTGAATTTATTCTTGTTTTTCTCAGTTTTTGCTACTGTTATTTAACATAGCATTGTACTTTGACTCCGGAGAGTGTATGAATGTCTTTGTGCAATGTTTGTCCGAGGCTTAACAGTTTAGCAATGGGATTGCTGCTGCTTCCACTCGTTTTGTGTAAATACAACCTGTGTTCCTTTGGAAGTTGGGAAAGATGTCTAGCTACCTCAGGTCGTCGACCAGCCAGTACTGAAAACGTCCACACGTCGGGCCTGTACATGCTCGCCGACATTTAAAGGTCTCGAGAATTGATGTGCATGTGTTTTGTGGTGTTTAGCACTTCGACATGTAGTGTCGATTTCTTACTTGCGATATATTTTTTTTTTTTATAGCAAGCCATTCTTCTTTCGCACTACTCCTTTGTTCCCGCTGAATACGTACATAAACACTCAAGTCCGGGGGTTTCTTCTTGATAGTTTGCAAATATTGGCTGAAACAGACTTTCTGAAACAAGCAAGCAGGCTAAAATACAAAAAAAAAAACTTTGTAATTGTGGTAACTGTGCAGACATGTAAGCATGCAAGCTGCCAGAAAACATGCAGATGTGATTTAATTAGCATTATCTTCAGTGACATGTTGTAATTGGCTGTTCAGGGACTATTATATAGAGTTAAAGAGCTGCCTCATTCTGTTACAATTAATCATCAGCTCGCCAAAAACATTTGAATAGTCTTTGCTGTTCTTGTGGCATCTCTGCGTACGCTTGTGTGAAAAGTTGTTTGCTGTGGCTAATGCTCACGAGTGCTTTTTGGGAAGCCCGCTTATTGAAACACCAGCATCTTGCGATTTTATATTGTGATCTCTTATTGCATGTTTTTTGCTTTTGGGGGCATATGTAGAGACGGTGTTATATTGTTAATTTACAAGGCTACTTTTGCTTAATTTGGTACTTGTTGTGAGGAATTGTGGTGTGACATATCATTGAGCAGTGATCTTTTTATCAGTTATTTGTTTGGTTTTGCTGTTTACTTGGCAAAGTGAACGAGTGTGGCACTGTAGAGCTGCTTTAAGATGTCTGGACATTTTATGTGACTCAGCATCTTTTACACTTGTTCTTACCGTGCATCGTTTATTCTTGCTTTTATTTGCTAAAGTCGTTCAAGAGTACTCTATGGGTCGTCCTTGTGAAGACAGGTTGTTTTAGAAAAAAGTGCTACTATAAATGTACCAGTTTTAGAATATGCTCAGTGTAACATAGTGTCACCTTGAAAATAAAGCATCAAAGTAAAACATGAGTGTGTCTTTGTGTACGGCATGCTGTTTTGTTAGCAGGAACCCTGGACTTGTCGTAGTACCCTGGAGAGAAAATAGGAAGGGCAGTGTTATGTGGGGCCATTCATTTATTGCTTACTCTGACATGGTAAATGTCAGGCAGTTCGGTATGCACACATCAATTTAGTTTACAGTTAACCACATATTTATATTTAATTTAATTTGACCTCCTAAATAGCCTCGATTTTATTAGCTGTGTTTTAGCTCTTGTGCTCGCTAATATTCCTATCATGAACGCATGCAGCTCGGGAGTCAGGACATGGAAGTACAAGGTACCTGGCGTTAGCACAGAATTAAAACGCAAATTGGTGGCTATCGAAAGCTCATGCTTTTTTTTTTTCTATTTGGGGGAAACAGTTCCAAATCCAGTGTACGTTGATTGTAGCCAAGAAGCTCGCAGCATCTCCAACGCCGTGCTCGTGTTGCTTGAATCAAACAAGGAGATAAAATGCTGAACACGTCGCTCTTTTATTGTGAAGACTGCGGAATTCGCTGAGCCGCGATGGTAACAGCATCGCAACGAAATCGTGAAGGTGAGTGAGGTTAGATGTGTCATCAGGCTGCATCCACTACCCTTTCACCATTTCGCCTTAAACAAAAATTTCCTTTTAATTGACCGGAGCAGGCGCGACTTGCACAAAGAAACTGCAGGTCGCAAGAAATAGCCTCCTATATTAAAACCAGAACTGATGTTTTTTGGCTATGAGCAGTGGATGTTTTGATGTAGTCCGGATACCGACTTGCATAGTAGTGCTGGCTCTGGCTACGACTCAGATTCTTGTCCATGTGAGTTCTGTTGGCGTCGGCTGCGAATGCGAGTAGTAAGGTTGAAATAGTAAATGAAGCAGAAACAAATACTACAAAATTGACGTTTCACGCGTCCCTGTCTAGCGTTTACGTGTAGTAATACATAAATATAACGCGTGTGCAATGTTAGCGTGTCGTCGGCTACTTGCTCTTCGTTCTCAAAGCAAGCTCTTGTCGGCGTGCGCACCGAATCAATGTGAGTTCATTACTTAAAGGTGAATAATCGATTGTTGTGCAAGATTTAGACAGGAAAGTCAACACAAACTGTTTGCGCTGCCAACGAGGGCAGTTGCTGCGAAGGAGCGTTCTAGCATCTTCCACTCTCTTCCCCACAGGTGAAAGTTACAGCACGACCCAAGCTCTTCAGAAATCGCAATCGTAAGTTATGCAGCCCTTTAAAGTTGCAGTTAATATTCTGTTTGAGAAATGAGGCATATGCCAAGCGACAGTTTTTGTAGAAATAGTACTACACATGCTTTTTAAACAGCGTAGCCACTACTACAGCGGCAGAAAACATCGCCTTTCTGCTCCCTCGCGCTACGTTTTCTGGTGCCGCGCTTCAGAGTTGTTAGCTTATACCTAATTCGCTTAATTTTTCTTCTTGAATCAAAAGTCGTGTTGTTGCTTATGTTCATGCATACGGGATGGTCACATCACCGAAGGCTTGACGTTTACTCGAGAACCTACGGTATTCACACTACTAGCCACGTACACGCTTTGTCCTGAGCGTTTGGAGAATTATTGTCCTTTTGTGTACAAGAACATCGCGCTTAATCCGGTGATGGTAACGTTTGTGCAGAAAGGAGAGGATCGTGCTCACTGACGATGGCTCTACTATTGTCTGCTGGCATCCGGAACAGGAGTTTCCCTACGAACATACGAAGGTAGTTAGCCTCAGAAACGCTGTAGTCGTAACGATACTTACGAGTCTGTTTTTCTTGTTGCAGCCGCTGCCAAATATCAGGCCCAAACTGGATGAGGTATGTGTCGGCACGCCGCTTTTGCCACTTGCCCTCGGCTGGCTTTGTGAGACTTGTGTTTGTGTGCATCTCAAACGAAATTTCTCACTGCGCGCAGGACTAATCAAGCTGATACATACGTCATGGTATGACAATTATAAATCGTGTCACTGATCGACATGGCGAAGTTGGGTCATGAGCAGTAGTTATTGATAATCAATGCCATTGATCGACATTGTGTGATTGACATTTCGTTGCCCTTATCCAAAACCGTTTTTAAAAAAAGAAATAATTGCTACAGAAGCAACCTTAGTACTTTTGCATATTCAAAGAAGTGACGTAGCATAGAAAGGACGAAAATTGCCACCAACTCTGTATCCTTTTCTGTTTTGTTTTTCATGTTGCCACTGAAACACCGATTTTATTATCTCATTGGTCTGAGGCAGGATTTAGGATTTTCTTGCAGGGCGTGCGACTGACCGAATTCACAGCTTGCCGCAGTGGCTTGCTAATACGTGCCATACAATATGCATGCCATAGAGCAGTTGGGAGGTCAAGGAATCGGGGGCCATTTGGGTGTAATTCATTGATTCAGTAAGGACTCATTATGATGGTGCTGAAAACTTTATTTTGGTTCAGAGAAGATGCAGGGGAGCCCCCACGCCACCCAGCTTGTCCCACGTAATTTTGTTGTGAACTTCTGTCGCATACATGTGTCATCCTGTGTACAAAGCACTGCAACGAATTATAAACATCCTCACTGTTCGTGCTGCTAAGCTCAAGGATGTGAGTTCGGCTGTTGTCCACAGTGGCTGCACGTTTGTGGGGGTGAAAACATGTAATAATAATGCCATTCTTGTTAATCTGCACCGATTGCATGAATAGCAGCCGCCTTGTAGGGTTTGTAGCATTATCATCATTCTTCACCGCCAGCAACGTGTGCCACCATTGGTCTGCTCCTCTTCAGTGGCTTATGGCTTGGGTTATTGGGTGTGAGGACGTACCGTGGTGCCACCATGCAGAGGCCTCCCTGTGACGTACGTGGTTGGATTGCTCCACTGCCATATTGCGCGCAGCCGCTTTCGCGTCTACTCTTTAAATTAATATATTCTTGTACTTCACTCAACGAAATCAGTAAAATACTGCTGCAGCTTCTTCCCAGACCGTACGAAGTGCTAAATAACTGCCCTGGAAAAGTTTTATGCTTTTCATAATGCCTGACTGCCGGCGTCGTCAGCTATGACCGCCTGAATGAAAACCACGGGGGCCAAGCGCCACTAGCCAGTATCAGTGCCTCTAGCCAGTATTTTTTACTGGCACAGAGACCATTAAGGTGCTGTGATTTTCCTCACCCTTTATGGGTTGCTATTGCTACTGCGGCTTCCCTAACCTGCTTTATGGTGTGCTGAGTGTTGTTGTCATCATAAGACTGCCCTTGATGTGGCAATGTTCTTGTGATTTGCCAAATTCAATCGAGCACCTACAGTATCCACACAACTAGCCACGTAAATGCTTTGACCTGAGCCTCTGTAAGCGGTGGCAACTCATTCCGTGTTGAATTGAAGTATCAAATGGGTATTAACGGTGAAGAAACTTACCTTTGCTGCAAAAAATGCGCGCAACCACACTGCGTTGTTCATTGTAAATTTGCGTCTAAAGAGGGGCCACGGTTGACATGACAAGCTTGTGCAAATTACATTTTTGTTTAGCACGCATAGCCCTACAAAGCACAGCGTAAGTGGATTCCACGCTTTGCGGGAAGCAACGCAGCATTATTACAGCCACAGGCAGCCGCAACCTTTCTGTTATCATTGGGCGCAAATGGGAGAATCATGCACGCGCGTGCCTCATTCAGAACTGTAACTTTACTCTGCGGCACAATCCTAATATTTATTTCGCAAAATTTGTATGGTTGTCACACGTTGCACATTTGATCGCCATTAAGCCACACATGGGTTCAATTTATGAACGATTGGCTCAGTTGCAAAGCTTCTATAGAGGGATAAATTATGATTCAAAAATGTGATCACCCAGCCATATATATATATGTAATTTTGCACCCTTGAATGTGCATGCTGCGAGGTTTAGCGTACTGTGGTATAAATGGCAATTTCGTTTTTCAGTAAAATTGCCAATGCCCAGTTTTTTTTTACAACTTCATTGATAAGCTGTGTTATATTTCACAAAGCTTTTAGAAGAGGAATCAGTTTTCAAAGCTGACGGCGTTTTCGCCTGTAGATCAAAACAACATTGAGAGGAAGTGACTGTGGCTATGGGCCCATTCTTTAGACGTTCTCTATAAGCAAGGAATGAAAGGTGTGAGCTGAAGTCGTGGACGGCAGGGGCGTTGGCAGAATTATTTTTTCGGACGGGGCACCACCTTGATTAGAGTTGGACCCGGGCAGGCAGAGGTAGTACACCATTATTTTGTGCTCATATACCATGTTGTTTGGGGGGGGGGCATGGGCTTGCTGTGCGAGCCCCTTAATACGCCACTGGGGGATGGAAACCTGTGTGGACTGGTACACACACGAGGATGGAAATAAACGAGGAGGATTGTGGTGGCGCAGACTGCGATAAAGGTTACTTTGGCGAGAGAAGTAAGCTTTAGCAATGACTGGAGGGACAGATGTATGATGTAAGGAAAAAAGTTTCGTCGAATGCACTGGCTGAACATGTAAAAGCAACTGGCGACAAAATGGACCGAAGTAGGGTGAAATCAGCGAAAATAAAGGGCAAAAAATTTTGACTACTGGGCTATCTTGACTCTCTGACAATTCAGACAACAGCACACATTTTTATTGCAATAGCAAAAACTTCCCCCACGTGTACGCTCTTACGTCCTATTTTAAAATATACATAATCGGACCGTTCGCACATTCATTTTTCGTTGGGAACGAGGCTCCTGTGCAAAAACTGAAACCTGCTTTTATGTGAAGATTCATGGTCTGTGCTCATTTTTACCCCTTGGGTGCGAAATAACAACCACAACAATAAAGAGAGAGAGAGGTGACAGTGGCCCTTCCAGCAGCCGCGACAGTGGCATCGCGTACGTAGCACACTGTGGCACGCCACCGGTAACGTTTACTGCAACTTTCCGTATTGTGTAGCCTGCAGAATTCCGCACAGGTGAAGTTGGAGCAATACAATACTGTTTAAAAATGAAAACACCGCGAAGTCGCGGTTAAAAACAATGCATCCAACCGCCGTTTCCTTCGCCAGAGCGAGGCAAGATTACGTTACCCAACCCTGCAGGTCACAGCTATTGCAGCGCTCGCGCCCAATATAGAAAATGTGACATAAGTCTCAGATGGACTGGATGGCACAGCCACTGCCAGGTTTGCATTTCACCAAATAAAATATGGCAACTGCAGCTCATTTGCCATAACATGAGTGTATGCACTGGGTGCATCAGGCTGTGCGTTTGACATGAAACTGGAATGCCACTTAAAATAGAAAAAAAAAGGGATCCTGCAACACTTTTTGAGCATGGTTGGAAAATGCTGCCAAACGGCAGTCAAGGCTCCCGAGAACAGGTGAGCCGAATATTAGAGCAGAGCGCACAGCCAGGAATTCAAAATAAATTCTTAGAGTCGGATAAAAATCACTCTTCAGAGTCGTTGTATCAGCCATTGGCTGATTCGAGCGTGGGGTGCTCGGTCGATACTGGGGTCGACCGAGCACACCACGGTCGAATCCTAGTGTAATGGTACCTAGTGTAATGGTAGGACGCCAACACTTCTCCACAGGTGCACACTCAATCGCACTAAAAAACGGCGCCTTAGAAGAAAAAAAATGAAAAAAAAAGGTGCTCAAGATCACAAGGCACACACAACGTATTTTCTCCTTTGATGCCACCTTTCCGTACTGTGCTCCCAGCGCTCTCGTCAATGCAAGAGAGGAGAGAACGCAATGTAGCGTGCGACAAATTTTTGTAACTCCGCTCGTACTGGATGGATTCTGAAAATTTTTGCACTGAAGTCATGAGGCAATAAGTCCCTTTAGTGAATTCATTCCGTGGCTTCTTGTAAAAGTGTTGCAAGGCCCCTTTAGGGAGGCTTCACATGTGGCAGGCGTTCAGTTTTGATGAGATTCTCTTCACCACTGTGGTCACTTGTGATAATGGCTCATTACCCATTTACTGAATGAGGCTCCTTCTACCTTGTATTTGAGTCGATTATCCCATTTGTTCTTCAGGCAAACTCTGCACTGAAGCTGCAGTACCGATTGGAGGAGGCCCAGACGATTTACAGGAACGATCGATTGGAGATTGAAGCTCTAACAAAAATGACTTACACCTCCAAGCACAGATGGTACCCGAAGTAAGTGAAGTGCCTGCACTTATTGCTTGTGTGTTATCACGGAGCGGGAATAGTGTAATGGTTCTATTCATCACCATTCTTTCTTGCGCTTTGTTACTGGTGTCAGTGCAATGCTCCTGCTGTGATGAAACCCCAGTTGGCTAGTTGTGAGTGGTGGAGGAATCAAATCAACCAAAAGAAATCTTTGCTCACCTAAGTTTTCATACACTGTGAATGCCTCACATGGTGGGAAAACCTGAGTGCTACTGTGGAAGAAAGCAATGTCCAAATGCTTACATGCTCATTGTGTGTCCCTAAAGTTCTGACTAAAAGTTCACATTAGACCACCCACACTTCCTACTTTTTGCTCCATTTTAGACTACCCAGTCACAACTTACTCAGTATTAAAGAAAGGAATATTGAAGTTCATGCTTTGCTGTACTGCAAAGCCCAGGATTGCACCATGGTCATTGTGTTTTGAACGTGTCTCTGGTCTCACTGTTAGAGGCAACACAGGAGTGCATGGTTGCCATGTTTTATGTAGCATCATCATGTCATCATTCACTTCATTGGCTTTCCTGTACAGGAGTCTGGTCCCCCTCCCCACCAATTCCCCCTCATGAAAGTTTCACAGTTCGTACAAAGATATGTGTACCAATGCATGTATATGTGCTAAGAAACACAAACTGAATTTCGGTGAAGTAAGATTATGGCTGTGCCCCTGGCTTCATTGAATGCAATGGCTGCATTATGTGCTATAAGACAGCTGACAAAGCACTAGTTAGATATCATTTCTTGAAGTAAGTGTGGAGATTGTAAGCTATGATATTCAGTTGTTGCTGCACTTTGTGACGTCTTGCATAGATTTAGACCAAAAGGCATTCTGTTACTAGGAGACAAAAATAATAGTGAGGCATAGATCTCAGTCTTGGATGCATGCAGGGATGTTCCGTACTACGCCGAAGAATTACCATTCAGGGACACGAAATTTTTCTATTTCAGGGATTTTTCCCTGCAAACTTTCACAAAATTCTCAGCTAAGTTCCCTTCACAACAGTACTAATTTCTGCCCCCATCAATGCACACACATACTCTAATTACACATGTCTCACGTACTGGCAACTTCTGAAATTATGACTAGCCCCTCTACTGCCGTGCAACAAAGCACGACTTTATTTTTTCATATACTGTAGTACACTGCACATTGTGGGCTTCAAGTCTAGAAATCGCTCCATGTAAATATCAGAAACAAATCTCAAGGGCTATGCTTGCGTTGTACATGTGCCAGAAGCCAGAACTGATTATGGCACATCAAGGTCACTGTGGCTGCTAATTATCGGTCAGCATAGGAGAATTGAACCATTCCTAAAATTCTCTGCAATATCATGAAGATTCCCTTTTCCCTTTTGGTTCAAAATGACAGGCGAGAATTCCCCCCAAAAGGGAAAATTCCCTGCACGGAACATCACTGGATGCATGCTAACGACAAATGGCTTGAAAAGGTATGTTGCTAAGGCTTAATGCGAGTGCCCTCGTCAAGCAGTGGAGACAGGTCAAGTGGCAACAGAGGATGATGTGTACAGCCATGCGCCTAATGCTTACAGTGCTCCCATGCACTGTGACATATTGTTACCACCTGTGTCAGGGTTGCTGCTCGGAGTGTGGCTGCTACACGCTCAAAGAGCGTGTGTTAGGGGCTAGTTGTTAAAACATTGTTAAAACTCAAACTGTACTTGGAGCAAGACTCCAGAGTACAATTAGACAGGGCGAATGCAGGACAACGGGATGAATGATACGTGCTGCCACATTCTAGCAGTGGTCAAGACTGCACAAAGGTAGTACATAATTTTGAGTACAAAGTAGTACGTAACACTGAAGATAGCAACAGGCCATGCAGCTCGGCAGTTTAAAAGGCCCATAAACCACATCCGATAATTTTTAATGTTTCAAGTAAAGGCGCATCTAGTTCAGAGCGTCGTCACAATGAAGAATGCCGAATGCAACAGCGCTACGAGCCGTGGGCGTATCGTGATTTCCAAAAAAAGATTCCTTCTCCTCTCCTGGACGTTTGCTTATCCTCAGCATAGGTTGTGACCTTAACATTCTCGTCTGCTTATGTCATTCACAAATTAAAGCTGCTCATCTGATGGCCAGCATGTGTGCTCGCTGCTTTCCGTCCTTGCACATCGAGAGGAGAAGTGAGTCTGCAAATGAAGCATAGCGAAGGAAAGAGCGAAACGAGCGAGAGCCCCTTTGGATCTTCAAACGTGTGTAATTCTGCAATTATGGCACAGTTCCAAGAAATTCTTCTAACTTGCTTGTTGCAGACTCGCCCACAACTACAACATCACAACTAAATTTCAACCTCTCGGTAATTTGGGAGTGCTTGAAGCTATCTCACAGCACCTACAATGCTCTCAGTTCAGCAATAGTTATATCACGAATTTTGCCACCTGTGGAAGATGAGGTGGTGCACTTCAGTGGCGTGACTTTTTTGTCTATTTTCGTTAATGTCATTTTTTTTCATAATGCCTGCTTGTTAAGAATGGTTTTCGGGTGCTATTGGCGCTTATGCACTCGGTGTTCCTTGTTTCTACTACTGTCTTTATGGCAGCAATGCACACTATATATTCATAAGAGCTTGTGTTCGGCGGAAGGGAGGCAGACACGCTACAAAGGCAGAAAAGACAGAAGTGGTGAGCTCTGGGAATAGAGCACGGCAAAATGTTAGGTGCTGTGCGTTGCATCGGAAGGCATGCTGAATGCATTGCAGGACATGTGCATCAGTTTTTTGGTCTTCGTCGGTAAAACCAACAGTGGGTAACTGCTTGGCCGTTGCCTCGATCGGACCTGTCGAGTTTGGCGTGGTACTGACCAGAGGCAGGTATTGCTTTAAGTACACCTGCAAAAAAAAGTTTTACGCAGAGATCAACTCATGTAATACCGTCATTAAGGTGGCAACAGTTTCCAAAACACAATTACGGAATCATCAAGTGGCTTCTAATACGTAGTAACTTTTTTGTGCTTTTCTTTCTCTTTATTTTTCTTCCTAGTCAACCAAAGAGCTAGGTTTGGTGAATTCAAATTTCTATGTGTTTTTTCTGTTTGCAGCAACAAAAAGAAGTATGCAGATCCTAATCCGCCAATCGAACGGGAAGGGCTGTGAATTTCCTGATCATTCAGGCCAATCCCAAAGCATCACAGGTGAGTTACGACAATTTCAAATCTCAATAGGCATGCTATTTGGTATGGCCACAATATTGCCACATGCTAGTGGCAGTAAAGGCTGAGAAGGAAAAAGTTGGTGGCTGCTGGGGCTGAAAGTAAACTGCCGTTCGCTACGCCTCGACCCCTTTGTCGTTTCCTTTCGCGACAATATAGTGTACTGACTTGAGGAAGGAGTTGTGCAGCGACTTGTATCTGCTTCTACATACTTGCGTACTAACTTGTGTCCAATTCTGTACCAAAGTTGACGAGTTTCACTTATTTTTAGGAGCTTCGCTCCTAAAAATGTCCATTGACGCCGTCCTTGCCATATCTTCCCACTGCACCGAGACACTGGTGTTACATAAACTTTGCTGACAGCGTTCATTGCATGCATATGGTTTAAATATAGACTGTACTCTGCCCGTTCATCTGTCCGTCCCGTGTATACGTTCGACCGTGCATCTGTTCGTCACTTAGTAAATTCCAAAGTGTGTTTGGTGAATGCCTGTGTCCGTTGAGACGAGGTAGGTCAGAATGGAGTGCGGCGCGCATGTCTTCCTTCTTGCATGATTCGACGTGCTAGGCACAGTGATGCCACTCAAAAGAAGCACGAGCCCTGTAGAACCTGGCGCGAGGCGCCACCGATGTGACCAGCATTTGTTGGTGCACCTTAGCATTTTCATAGCACAGTCGTAATCATTTAATAAACATTTCATAATCGTCCAAGGAGCTTCACTGCATCATCAGCATTCACTTCATGGATCGGCTACCAGCTTTTGATATTTTAATCAGTAGGTCTGCACGGGACCTGGCCATTTAGTCTAATTTTTCTGGTGAGTCCGAAATGCCCCGTAATATCTGCTTAACCGCGCCATTGCAAAAACGGGCACTATTCTTTTAATATTCACTGCATTCGTTAATTCATGCACTCATTGGTATTGCCCACCTTCACTGTCTCCGTAAAGCACTTAATCTTAGAGTGGACTTCGTCAGGCTTCGATTTTTACAGAGTTGAATGCTGGGGTCACAGCAGTGTTGTGGCTAGGACTTTTCTTGAAGTCCAAAGTTGTTGCTAGGCACTGTTGTCTTTCATAAGGGGGGGGGGGGGATAATTGTTTCCCAACCTTCTGTAATGACAGAGCCTTCAATTCAGGGTCATAGTGATGCATTCAGTGTTTGATGTTAGCATGGAATGGCTCTCAAAAAGGGTTAACTTGTATTGGCGGGCACAATGAAACAATACTGTATAAAGGACCTTCTTTTTATCCTTGAGAAATGCGTAAAGTGTGAATGTAACACTAATCAGATGAACATCTACAGATTTCCTGACATAATTGGTTTGCACGATTCAAGATTATATACACACAGATCCAGTACATAGTATTCAAGTAATCTAACTGTCTCTTTAGTTGATTCTGATATGTTTTTTGATGTTGGAATATTGTCTTTCTTCCCTTTGTTGTTTCTATATTCAAATGATGGGTACCTCTCTGAGCACTGTAGCTTTTGCATATATTTATGTTCATCCTTGATGGTTTGTTGAAGCATTTTTCTGCTTTTCAGCATCTGCATTGTTCTTTTCAGTGCCTTTCTTGCAATTTGCACATTTCTCACTTCACTTATGGCTCATTTATTAGCGGTCATAAAGCAGTCGGGGTAGAGTGAGAAGTGGCGGTAGTAGACCCGGCAGAACAAGGAATTCTGTTTGCTAATTGGAGGACCGAACTTACGTTACGTTGTTTTTTAGCAACGACCCTGATACTTCTTTCACTTACAAATATATAATACTATGTAGTACCTCCCTTTCCCTGTACTTGCATGCACGAATCTACAGCTAGGTGAAAGCCTCGCTGCTTTCAAGATACGTACACAGCCCAGTTCTTCTTGCTGTGCGTATGCATGCTTGCGTTTTCTGTTTGGTTCTAATGACACATCGGTGACAAATGCAGATCAGATGTGTTCCCGACTGTGATAGTTGCTTTGCTGTGGTCCTTGAAATTTATTGTGTTCATTTGGGCAATAAGTTTTTCTTCCTGCCTCCATCTGGCCTGTTACTCTGTCCTAAGTCTATGTGTGCGCCTATCCATTTATTCCTGCCAAACTAATGCTAAGCCTAAATATTGGTGCAAGCTGCAATACTGCACGACGCCCATGTTTACTGAAGTCTGTGCCCAGTTTTACTCGGTGCGCAATGTTCAACCGCTGAAACGCCGTGCTTGTACTGCGTGGTGACTGACACTTAGGTAACTACTAATAAAGAGCATTGGGTGAGCAATGGAAGGCCATGTGTCATTAACATGCATTACAAATACTCTCAACCACATCAGTTTACCATAACAAATCAATTTAATTTCTACGGCATCATCTTGTGACCTACAACAGCCGCCCGTGTGCGATTCAACGGGCAATGACTCATAAGCAGCCACTGCTCGGTGGTGAAATGTCCATTGTCTTTCTCATATAACGAGCATTCTTTTTTCGCACATGCCTGCTTGTCTGTGAAGTTGACTTCAAAGACAGGTTTATGATCTGCAGTAGTGTATATTCGAAATAACATGAGCACAATGCTGTGCGGCCTTGGGCTCTATGCCTCTGTGTGACACTCATTTCTGATTTCACACAGTCATGCCTTGTTTTTTGGGAACTTTTGCCATCTTAACAAGGGTGTTAGTGTCAATCTGACCTTCTGTTCTGTGACATCTTTCTGTGTCAACGTCTTACTAACATTTTTCTTTGATGTCTCCGTTTCAGATGCACGGATGCTCCATTTGTATGATTGTATAGTCAAACATAGGTTTAGTTTGCAGACAATTCAAGTTATTAATAAAGCAACAGTCAAATCATACATGTTTAGCTCTCTGTCTTGTACTGCTTGTAGCTTTGATGTTCCTGTGCTCCACAGATGTGCACTCAGCGAGCGCTGCACACATTCCTCTAAAAACTGTAACGTAAGCCCATTCCTCGTTCCTTCTCTATTTAGAAACGAGTTCCCGTTGCAAGTTCCTTAAATGCAAAAGGATCTCGTTACTGTTACATTTTGAAATTGGTATGTGTCATTACATTAACATTGAATTTGAACCCTGCCGCTGGGGTCTAGTGGCAAAGGTACTCGACTGCTGATCCGTAGATCGCGGGGTCGAATTCAGACTGCGGCGGCTGCATTTTCAATGGAGGCGAAAATGCTGTAGGCCCGTGTGCTCAAATATTAGTGCACGTTAAAGAACCCCAGGTGGTTGAAATTTCCGGAGTCCTCCACTACGGCGTCTGTCATAATCATATGGTGGTTTTGGGACGTTAAACCCCTGTATCAGTTAATGCTACATTTGAATTTTCAATAAAGATATATAGTGTCGAATACTCATGAGACAAAATAAAGTGAGAAATTTAAAGCTTACATCCACCTACATATATATATACCAATTGGACATCCCTGCCAGCAGGTTACAGTGCATACAAGGAATTTAAATAAATGGGTGAATTTTTAAAGACCACCGGCCCTACTGCAACTTCTGAGCTCACCGAATAAAAGTGCAATGATGTTTATTCAAACAGAGAAGTCGCAACGAGGTCGCAACGGAAAATGGGGGCGTATGGCAAGCCTGGCGAAGGCGGCACAGGTTCTCACGCAATCAGAGCACGAGTTTTTCGTTCTCTTCCAAAGACACATACGCGTTACTGCGTATGCTCCACTACAATGCCCCCCCCCCAAGGAGTAGCCATCCTGGCGACTCAGGGAGTAGGCACAATGAGGGGGTTGTAGTAGGGCTTGAGACGGTCGACGTGCACGGTCTCGCGTCCTCGACAGCGCAAATCTGGCGATTGTGTTAGGGGCTCGATGATGTAATTCACCAGCGAGGTCGCGCTAATGACACAGTATAGACCATGGTACCGGGCCAGAAGCTTAGAAGAAAGGCCAGGAACGTGCGGGGGAACCCAAAGCCACACAAGGGAGCCAGTACGAAACGTAGGAGCTATGTTATGAACGTCGTCATGTCGGGTTTTTTGTAGAGCTTGAGCTTCATTTGTCAGAGACCGAGCCAACTGACGGCAGTCTTCAGCGTATCTGGCGACTTCCGAAAGCGGGGAGCACTCAGATGCATCATGGCGGTACGGGAGTATAGTGTCTAGTGGGTGGGAAGGTTCGCGGCCATACAGCAGAAAGAACGGGGAAAAACCGGTAGTCGCTTGCGTCGCGGTGTTGTAAGCGAAGGTAACAAAAGGTAACACAGCGTCCCAGTAAGTGTGGTCGGATGAGGTGTACATCCTCAGCATGTCGCCAAGTGTGCGGTTGAACCATTCAGTGAGACCATTCGTCTGTGGATGGCATGCAGTAGATTTCCGGTGGATGATGTTGCACTCAGCAAGAATAGTTTGGATGACCTCGACAAAAACACTCTACCCCTATCACTGAGTTAATCCCGTGGAGCCCCATGGCGGAGAAGGAAGCTGCGCAGAATGAAGAGTGCAACTTCATGGGCGGTCGCTGCCGGTAGAGCTACATTCTCAGCGTAGCGTGTCAGATGATCGACGCCGGCAATAATCTACCGGTTTCCAGAACCACTATATGGAAGGGGGCTATAGAGGTCGATAGCCCCCCGCAGGGGCGCCTGCGCAAGTAGGCGTTTGGTGTGTTGCGACACCACGGACCCGAGCTAACGGGGGAGTTTTGACTCCCTCCCACGCCTAGCCGTGCGTGGCTTTGCCGTGTCCGGGGAAAAGGGGATCCTGGGGGTTGAGCCGACGCTGGGTGATTGGACCGTTAAGGCCCCCCGGCAGAGGCAACACACCCCTTTGGCCCCGGCTTCACGTAGACGGCACCCCTGGGCCGACCCACCCAGAGGAAATCGGCAGTCGCCTTTTCCTATCTCTCTCTCCCTACATCTTAGTCTTTATTTCTTACAATTTATCTGTCCTGTCTTCTACTCTCTTTCGTTTACTTCCAAACTTCCTGGCGGCTAGGGTTAACCCTGTGCAAATAGCCTACCTTGGTCTAGGCGCATTGGGTTATAGTGGTGTTGTACGGCTGGCGTCTGCAGGTTTCAGCATCCGCAAACTTGTAGAGTCCCCTCGTTGGGCTCCGTGATGGGTGGCCGCCAACGCTGCTGAACAAAAATAAGACAGGCATGCATAGAGCATTCCCCCTACTGTCTGATCGTACCGGCTTAAAGCGGGTATGCACCGATGATATAAATTTTTGCAACCAGCCAAAAGAAACATATCCTCACTTTCATGTTATCCACTGTGGAAAAACTGAAAAGAAAAGCAAGCCAGGACCGTCTCTCCTTTCGTAGTTGCTGGATGTCTGACCGAAACTCTTGGCACAGGATACAAGATAACCAAAATGGCTAGGGGAGACCTTCTCCTCGAAATCCGTGACAAAGAACAATTTGAAAAGCTAGACCGTCTTTCAGATTTCGGTGGCATACCAATAACCATAACACCACATAGATCAATGTGCATTTCCGATGGAGGCGGAAATGTTGTAGGCCCGTGTGCTCAGATTTGGGTGCACGTTAAAGAACCCCAGGTGGTCAAAATTTCCGGAGCCCTCCACTACGGCGTCTCTCATAATCATATGGTGGTTTTGGGACGTTAAACCCCACATATCATCAATCAATCCACATAGATCAATGAACACAACTCGCGGAGTGGTATCTGACATGGACTTACTTGACTTGACTGAGACTGAACTTTTGGAGGGGTGGAAGAGCCAAAATGTCACTAATGTACAGAGAATCATCATCAGAAGAGATAATAAGGAAACACCGACAAAACACTTAATACTCACGTTTGCATCCAGTAAACTACCAGAATCTATTCAAACAGGGTACATGAAGACATCTATCAGGCCGTACATACCAAACCCTCGTCGTTGCTTCCAATGCCAGAGGTATGGCCATGGCTCTAAAACCTGTCGTGGTCGCCAAACTTGTACACAATGTGGAGTCCTAGGCCACGTGTCTGAGAACTGCAAACAACCGCCACACTGTGTAAACTGCGAAGGAAACCATGCCACATATTCACGCTCCTGCACATACTGGAAAAAAAGAAAAAGAAATAATCACGTTGAAGGTGAAGGAGAACATTGAATTTAAGGAAGCATGGCGAAGAGTAGCACCATTCTATGGACCTACATACGCTGATGCGGCGCGTCAGGCGGCACCGCCGCACCAGCCCTCGCCACTCCTTCGGCCCGCGCATACCGAGCTGGTGGTTGTGGCACATGCCCCAAGGCGGCTGTAGCCCAGGCTACACCGCTTACTCCCAAACAGAGACCGGAGACTCCAGAGTCCTCGGGTCTCAAGGCCTCACATCACCAGGCGAGGCCCGAAGTTCGAACTAACAGCCCGCACGTGCGGGCATCCAGTGCCTCCGAGGAGGCAATGCATACGTCGGTACCCTTGGTGCCGAAAGAGCGGCGTGGCTCCTTGGAGCGCGCCAAGAAAACAAAAAAGCAGATAACAGGGCCTGGTGACGGCCCTGTTAAGTGAACTCAAACTCCCTGTCTAAACAGCCACTCGCTTTTCGTACACACAGCACTATTTTACATTCACCATGAACACTCAAATTATACAATGGAACGTCAGGGGCCTTCTCAGAAACCTTGACGACATCCAAGAACTCCTACACGAACACTCACCAAAAGTGCTGTGTGTACATGAAACACACCTTAATTCAAAACACACAAATTTTCTTCGTAAGTATGTTATTTTTCGAAAGGACCGTGTTGATGCCATGACATCATCCGGAGGTGTTGCCATCATAGTGTATCAAGGAATTGCATGCACACACTTACAGTTCCAAACATCCCTTGAGGCAGTGGCTGTTTGAGCGGTTCTTTTTGATAAACTGATCACAATCTGCACTATTTACATTCCTCCTAGCTATCAGCTGCAAAGACGTGATTTACACTCTAATTGATGAACTTCCGAAACCTTATGTTCTCCTTGGAGACTTTAATGCGCATAGCAGGCTATGGGGTGACTCGGTATGATGCGCGAGGTCGACTGATTGAACAGTTCCTTCTCTCGTCGAGCGCGTGTCTCCTAAATCGAAAAGAACCAACCTATTATAATGTCGCCAATAACACCTACTCCTCCATAGACCTAAGCATAGTATCTCCATCTCTTGTGGCTCTACTCCAGTGGAAAGTCGGCAGTAATCTGTACGGAAGTAACCACTTCCCCGTAGTTTTGAGCACAACTACAGTAACTGAGTGTCCACCACATGTTCCCAAGTGGCTCATAAACAGAGCCGACTGGGAACAGTTTTATACCATCGCTCGTCTAGGTTGGAATGACATATGTACTTTGAACATTGATGTTGCTGTCGACTATTTCACAGTATATTTGATTGATGCTGCAACAAAATGCATCCCACAAACAAATGGACACCCTGGAAAACGGCGTGTGCCATTGTGGAACTCTGAATGCCGAAACGCGCGCAAACAGCAAAACAGAGCTTGGAGGTAGCTTCAGAACTCACCGACAGCCGAAAATCTTGACACCTTCAAGAAAATAAATTCTCAAGACAGGAGAATGTGTCGGCAGGCCAGAAGAGAAAGCTGGCAGAAGTTTTTGTCAGGGATCAATTCATACACACAGGAGGCTAAAGTCTGGAACATGGTCGGTAGGATAGCAGGAAAACAAGTACACACACTTCCACTCGTAAACACTCAGGGTGATACCTTGGAAGATCAGGCAAACTTCCTCGGTGCACACTTTGAACGGATATCCAGCTCGTCCCACTATACTGACACTTTTCAAAAAATACAGAACAAAAATAGAAAAGCAGAAACTCGAACATAAGTCCACTAGATACGAGGCATATAACCAAGCTTTCAGTC